ATGCATTACATTTTCACTTAAACTTCATTTACTTTTTTTCTGTTCTGTTTTTATAGTAATCTGTGATAGAACTTAAAAAAATATGTATCAAATGCGTTGGGTATAAAAACGGGCCCGGCCGGGATTTGAACCCGGGACCTCTCGCACCCAAAGCTAGAATCATACCCCTAGACCACCGAGGCACACAAAGCTGATACTTTTTAATGCATTACGTTTTCACGAAAATTTCATTTACTATTTTTCTGTTCTGTTTTTTATACTAATCAGTGATAAAAGTTAACAAAATATGTATCAAATGCGTTGGGTATAAAAAAGGGCCCGGCCGGGATTTGAACACGGGACCACTCGCACCGAAATCGAGAATCATACCCCTAGACCACCGAGCCACACAAAGCTGATAATTTTAAATGCATTACGTTTTCACTTAAACTTCATTTACTTTTTTTCAGTTCTGTTTTTATAGTAATCTGTGATTGAAGTTAAAAAAATATGTATCAAATGCGTTGGGTATAAAAAAGGGCCCTGCCGGGATTTAAACCCTGAACCTCTCGCTCCCAAAGCGAGAATCAAACCCCTTGACCTAAGAGCCACACAAAGCTGATACTTTTAAATGCATTACATTTTTACGAAAACTTCATTTATTTTTTTCTTGTCTGTTTTTTATAGTAATCTGTGATAAAAGTTAACAAAATATGTATCATATACGTTGGGTATAAAAACGGGTAGGGCCTGGATATTAACCCGGGACCTCTCGCACCCAAAGCGAGAATCATTCCCCCAGACCAAAGTGCCACACAAAGCTGATAATTTTAAACGCATTACGTTTTCACGAAAACTTCATTTACTTTTTTTCTGTTCTGATTTTTATAGTAATATGTGATGAAATTTAGCAAAATATGTATCAAATGCGTTGGGTACAAAAACGGGCCCTACCGGGATTTGAACCCGGGACCTCTCGCACTAATAGCGAGAATCATACCCCTAGACCTCCGAGCCACACAAAGCTGATAATTTTAAATGCATTACATTTTCACGAAAACTTCATTTATTTTTTTTCTGTTCTGTTTATTATAGTAATCTGTGATAGAAGTTAACAAGATATGTATCAAATACGTTGGGTATAAAAACGGGCCCGTCCGGGATTTGAACCCGGGAACTCTCGCACCCAAAGCGAGAATCATACCCCTAGAACCCCGAGCCACGTAAATCATAGAATTTACTTAAAAATATTGACTCAAAAAGCACCTGTAGTCGTTATATAGGTCACTTGAAATGTCAAACCAGTTTTCTTCATTTTAAGTGCATTACGTTTAAACGAAAACTTTTTTTCTGTTATTTCATATCATCAAATCAGACAGATTGATTATCGATTTATTTTATATTTCTCAGAATAAGATTGCTAAGTTGAGTCGTATTAACAGATTATTTAGTATTTTTTTATTTTTATCAAGAACTCTATCATTACAGGAAATAGAACTTTTCACCCAGTTATATAAATTTTTATAAGTGCTGCGAATTTGTTTCAGTAATTCATTAATGTTAGGTTTATCTTTCTATATCTTCTACGCTTATTATGAAACTAGATTAACATGAAAAATTTAAAAGCCACAATTTGGGGAAAATTCAAAGCCTTTCAGATTCAGTTTTTAAACATTCAAAAATTTTCTCCTTTTGGGATTACTGAAATTTACATCTTTGGATTTCGAAAATTGGATTTCGGGTAGCTCCGCTCTCATGAATGTTGGGTATCACCGCCCAATTTTATTTTGTCGATAAATGCACGGTTGCAAAGATTATTATTTTATTGCTTCACATTTGAATGTTATATGCATTTTTAACCACAAATTTTGTTGACATTAAATGATTGTTATTAAATGATAGAATTATCTAAAAGTATATAAATATGTAATAAATAAAATAATTTTGTGATAAAAGTGATAAATGAGGTATATCTATTGTCAATTCATTGGTCACTTTCATTTACATCTGAAAAAACAGTCAAAAAACATAATTTTTGTAAATAATTTTTGTAACTGGGCGGGGCTACCCAATACTTTTTGAAAAGAACTGAAAAGCATGTTTTCTTAAATTTCTATTTTTTTAAGTAAAACTATCCTTTTTTGGTTTATTCATTTTTGTATTATTTAATTAGATGGTAAAACAATAGAAAGATACAAAAATATTGATTAGTACTCAATATTATACAGAAATATAAGCAATACTCCTTAAGTGGGCGGGGCTACCCGACTCTCCCCTACTTTAAGCTAGTTCATCAAAAATGATTTCTAAAAAAAAATCTTAGTATCTTGATTAATAATTTTCGAGAATTACAATTAATTTTCCAAATTGAAATAAATAAAAAAAATTACATTAAAAATCTAAAAATGAAGGAAAGATACTTTTTTCGTCTATGAAAATCATAAGAATGACCATATTGTTATTGACACCAATAATGCTTAAATTTGGTTAAAGGTTTAAATTGATATAATAAAATAAATTTGTGTTAAAAATTATCTGAAATAATGAAATTTTCTCTATTAATTGGGAAAAAAAGTGCTTATTCCTCTTGGAGAACCATTAAAATGGACAAATTATGCCAATGATACCTTATTACTACTGATATTATAAAAATTCTATATATAGTTTTTAATCGGTTATAAAGATACTAACATTGATAACAAGACATCTAGTATAGGTACTGTGGGAATAGGTTTTGTACGACCCACTGTAAAGCCACCGAGAAAAGGTGATTAAGATAAGTTTTGACTGTCAGGATATGACCCTTTGCCAAATAATACTGAATATAGCAAATTTTTATTTTGATGAGATGAATTTCTCAGAAAACTGTACTAATAACGTGAAAATAAGTCAGGAAGAGAAAAAAATTTGCAATACATTTAAAAAAAATAATTTTTTTTTAGCTTAATTGTGTCGAAATAAGTCTTTAAGTTTTGTGCATAATTTTGTCCTGTAGATCAACGTTAACTACTTTTTTATTGTCACCCCGTTCGAGGAACGGGTATTCCACTTGTCAAGAATAAAATATCATTCTATAATAAGAGATAATTTTTTTTAATTTGTACCTCATACTTTAGAGCATGGTATGAAAACCATTTAATTGGCTAAATTTACTTCAAAGTTTTGTAATTTTTACAAAATGTGTGGTAATTAATTATGATTGTGAAAAGCAAAGTTTCCAGTAATCTGTCACCATATCAACGGAAAAAATACCAAACTAATTGTTTAAGTTTAGTTTGGCTTTACCAACCGAAATAAAATTTTTTTTTTACCAAATTTATCTTTTGCGTAGATTTATTACATTCATAAAATTTTAACATTTAACCTAAATATTCTTTTGAAAATTTCCCCTTAAATGCATATATTGTGGCATACGCAGGCAATGTAAACCATTAATCTTCTTTTTTTTACATTTTTCTACAAGTATGAAAGTATTATACATTACAAAAAGAGCACTAAGCAATTTTTGTCACTGCTTAAGAAAATTATACTAACGCTGAAGCCGAAATCATAGGATTAAGTACGCTTTTATTTATTCTGATATTGATTGAACTTGAGTTTTCAGCTTAAGAACTTAGAACATTTTATAATCTTTCATTATAAGCCTCTTAATATTTTGAAACTTTCCATGAGATCAACAGAAGTCAAAGTACTTTATTTTTAACGCACACATAATGCATTTTTTTCTTTCAGCTACATTGTAAAACTTTCTTAGAAAAAAAATACTTCACCTTTATTTAAAATATAAATAATCTAAATTAACACATTCTCTAAGCTGACAAAAGATTAACTATTAAGCGTAAGTTTCATATTATTCTTATCTTTTTGTCCACTTCAAAACATTACTTTCAATTCTTTTAGAGAATTTTTTTTTGAACTTGTAGATTAGCGTTAATGCCATTAAAAATACATGCATTATATTATATTAATACTAATTTTATTAATTAGAGTTAAACCGAATAAAGTTTGTAGGACAGAAAAAAACTATTTTTTTTAAATATTTTGTCTAATATCTAGGAATAGTATGATTTATTGTGTTTGACTTAGTGTGCGTAATGCGTAGCTAATTTTTGACTGTATAAAATATATATATATATATATATATAAAAACAGCTTATTTTTTGATGATTAGGAAGTAAATATTAAGCCAATCAGTACTCAAAAAAGATTTAAATTTTAGTTTAGCTCGTAATTGTGCATAATGGTGATGATTTGTCCGAGGAACCATAATCTTAGACTTTCAAACCAAATTCAAGTGATAAAGTTTCCTATAAATCAGAGATGAATATATCGTTCGTTATTTCTACATTTAAGTACTTGTTGGTGTACAATCATTTTTATATCACTTATATGTCTTAAAACGCATATTTTATCATGTTAAGGCGATGAATCAGAGATTATAAAATTTTTTACTTAAAATTAATAGTATATATAAATTATGGGTACAAATGTTAAAAATAATATATACTTTATAATGATTGGAATTTATTTGCTTACTAAATTTTTTATGATCAGGTTTACTTTCTTTACAGATCAATTAAAATGAGCCCATTAACTTTCTTGAGTATAAAGGAACTGGATATGAAAATAAAATAAAAAAATTAAGTATTTGTCAAAATTATTCTCCCTTTCTTTGTCTTCCTTAAATTTTAACGATATGCATACTCGACGTATGTATATCGTTAAAATTTATTGCAGATAAAGAAAGGGAGAATAATTTTGACAAATATTTAAATTTTTGACATGTATTTTCATCGCGAAATATTAATTTTTTCCTAACATAAAAATGCTATTGAATATACACATCATGAAACTTTTATTTAGACCAAATACTTAACAAATGTATCCGTTTTTTTAACACATTGTTGAAAATGATTATTAATCGCCTTTGCTTTCTATAAATTAAAAAAAAACCTATATCAGTAGAAAAGAAAACATATTATTTTATTTTTGGACAAACATTCTCGAATTTTTTTTTTCAGCCACCAGACTTCACCTCTCAGTATGGTCAAGTCAAAGGATATTACGTTGGTTACAAGATTAAAGAATCTAAAGATAAATACGTTTACAAGACCCTAGAGGTCACAGACAATTTTCGAGAGGAAAGAATTCTGAGCAATCTACAGAGAAGCACCAAATATTTGATTCGAATCCAGGCATTTAACAGTAAAGGAGCAGGACCACCATCTGACGATGTAGAAGTTGAAACTTTGAAAGATGGTAAACATTTTTGTTTTATGCCCTGTAAAAACAATATCTCTCCGAATTTAATGCTTAGCAACCCCAAAAATTACGTGGATTAAGGAACACTTTATTTCAAATCAGCACGAAGTCGACGTTCCTAAAATATGTTGTTTAAGCTATAATGGAAAAGGCTTATACCAATCTCAAATGCTTTCTCATGATATATGAGTCGTAATCGCGAAAAGCGTGGTCTGAATATCGAATTGGGTACTTGGGTTTCAATAAGAAGAAGATCACGAGTACCGACGCTTGTGATCTATGACGTCAGCTAATCGTTTATAAACAAAATGGCTATGGTTATAGTTGAATTAATTTTCCCCACAGATGTTAGAATGTGCGTTAAGTGAAATTAATTAAATACAGCATCGTGCCGCACATCAAACCAGTTGCAATATAATTCTTTCTCGTTAATTACTTCTTCTTCTTGGGAACTACAGCCTATGACAGGCCAAGGCTGCCTCAATAAGTTTTTGCCATCTTGATCTATTCTGTGCCATGGCTTACCAGTTGACTATTCCTATTATCTTTAGGTCCCTTTCAACTGCGTTCAACCACCTTGTCGGTGGACGATCCCTTTTTCTTGTACCTTCTGGTTTAAAAAAGGTTACTTTTTTGCGGGGCTTTTATCATCGTATCTATAAAGGTGTCCCAGCCATCGAATGTGATTGGCCTTAATAATATGAACTATGTGTGGTTATTTATACTTTTTATATAACTCATGATTGTAAAGGGTGCGCCATTTGTTATTCTCATAGACTGCTACAAATTACCTAGTTTAGATTTATTATTTGTTTATGTATTTTGTATGATAGGATATTTTGGGTACCTGGTAGCTTCGATACATAATTAGTTTGTTTATGTTCTTCATGGCTTCGAGCCTTAGCAAGAAATATATAGTGAAAGAATTGAAGTATTTGTGAATGAATATAGAATGTGTCACTTAAGAAAATTGATACTTGACAGGTTTAGCTTTCTTAAGATAGAATGAAACGAACAACTAATAAAAACATAATATCAAAAAATGGCTAGTTAAAGTTGGATTAAGTTTCTCCATGAAAGTTAGAATGTTAATTAACGTGAAGTTAATTAAAGAGACCACAGTATCGCACATCAAATCCAGTTGAAATATAATTCTTTCTCGTTTTTTACTTAATTTAGATTTATAATTTGTTTGTGTATTTTATTGTAAACGTGGTATTTTGGGTACATGGTAGCATTGATACATGATTAAATTGTTATGTTCTTCATGTCTTCGTGATTGTCTTAGTAAGAAATATATAGTGAAAGAATTGAAATCTTTGTGAATGAATATAGAAAGTGTCACTTAAGAAAATCGATACTTGACGGATTTGGCTTACTCGAAATAGACTGAAAAGAAGAATTTATAACGCAAATAAATATCACGTTTCAATAATCAATCACGATGATACCCGCATTACGTCACTTGCAGCCAGCCCATTATGTTGTTTACATTTGAGAACGAGTTACTTTCAAGTGTTTACTTCACATTCACGCTGTTATGCATCTATTGAATCAAAAGTTAATCTTTACGAAATGCATGCATGTTCTCAGTTGTGCAATTTGAGTAACTGTTTCTTGGAGTTTTTAAAATCTATGAACTGTGAATAGTTTTATAATATATAATTTCGATTCGTTTATGTTCTGTTAAGCCTAATTCCAATTCATTTTCATATTATCTCTATGTCATTCACGTGTTGGTTTGGTTTACAAGATAATGTCTGTATAAAAATCGGTGTGGTGTATCATGAATCATAACGTGAAAAAAACTTTACTGTATGGTATCTCATTTTTAGTGTAAATTTTAGTACTCAAAACCGAAAATAATGGCAGCTGCTTTACTTCAAAAGTAGTGTAAAAGAACATTCCTGGAGTTTCACTACAGCATTAGTAGTTAGTGTCTTACTAGTTATTTAATGTTGCCACCATTATTAGTGTAAAGATGCACTAGCATATTTTACAGTGTATTATATGATTACTAAAACATTATTTTAGAACAGAACATCTTAAATGTTCACTACGAACAAATCATACCTCTGGGACCTATCCAGTAGTTTCCTTGTCTTCTGGATTGGTTCAAAATTACAAGGATACGGAGTCATCAACTGTTTGCGCAATTTTTAACTAAACACTGTACTATTTTTTAACTAGCGAAACACTGACACACTTTTAAATTGACTGACAATTTAACTGACACACTGACAATTTTTAACTTAACACTGACACACTTTTGAAATTCCCTCAAAAATCAAAGAATTTACTGGTGGCAAAGCTAGCCGAAATTTTTCCGTTATCTCAAGAAAGTAATCTTTTCCCTTTTTAATGCAGATATTTTCCGTTTTACGAACTAATGTATCCAATTTTCATTACGGGTATTTTTCGTTGTACATATTTTGATATTTCCTGTTTTTATTACAGATATTTTTCGTTTTAGATATTTTGATATTTTCTGTTTTTATTACGGATATTTAAAACACAATCGGTAATTAATAAATAAATAATCAATGTATGAGGGATGGTTTAAAAGAAATAGTCTTCTTATTGTCATGTCCTATATATGATTGACTTAAGACAAGTACTCTGCTTGCGAGTGCGAACTAATTCTGAAAACAGGACGTTAATCTGTCTGTACTATCTTTCGAGTTCATAACTTTCTGCTTCACGTGTTTAGAAATCTATGCTTAGTAAATTCAATTTTCATAATCAATTATATATTTTCAATTTTTAGTAAATACCATTCAAGTTATTTATTAAAACTTATAAACATTTTTAAAAATAACCTTCTTCTTCGAATATTTATTTATTAATGACGAAACATATTTTAAAATTTAATGTGGAGAGTTTCTTAGTGATGCATGATTTTCGACTCATTATATCTTTATGCAGACTTTATTTACTCAATTAAATAACTGCGGGATTTATAAAATGTTTACATTTTAGCGTTGATTTAAGCTCATTTGGAAGGAAGTAAAACCCGTCTTATCATGATAGAGTTAGATTTATAACATTTACTTTTCCGCAGTATGATATATAAATATTTTATCATTTTCTGATACAAGAGACAAAATTTCGTACAAACTGAATATTTTAAGCGAAAACTAACAAACGCGAAGCTCAATATTGACGGAAATTAGCAAAGCCAAATAAAATAATAATATGAATATGTAAAGAAAGGTAGCATTAAAATGCATTTAAAAATTAGGAATCTTTCCCTAAATCATCAGTCTTTCTATGCCGTGTCATATTTAGAAGCTTTGGGAACATTCATGCTCGATTTCTGTAGCTTCCGATAAAGAATTGATATGTAAAGCTTACGTGGTACTTCATTGAAGAAATATTTGGATTTGAAATCACGAAAACTCTTTCAACTTCTTTTTACTTATTTTAATTTTCAACAAATATTTAGCTTTTTATTTATTTTATTTATACATTATGGAGACAGTAGTTATCGACAATGTCGACCTTCGTCTATGAAAAGGTACCCCTCCAGAGAATCGAGTTAACATGTTTTATATACTAGTGAATTGGAATTATATTTCTGTAGTGGTAGTTGCACTACAGTACTCCCCCACCAAAATTATATCTGTGATAGAATTCAATGAACGGATGCAACTAGTTGATTCATTGCTGCTTTGTGAGAAGCCGGGAGAGCTGTATTAAGATCACCGTACTTTTAAATGCTGATCGTGAGAGTTGTATTAAGTTCACGGTTGAGGTCGTTCCTATATTGCCATTAGCAGTCGAGTAAATACGTTGTACGCTATGTGTGATCAAAACTGAGTGGCAACAGCACGTGGAGGTGGATAACGTCGCTTTCACAAGTAGCAAGTGAACTGTTCAATGTAGACCATCCATGGAAGTAGACGTGTTCAAATCGTAGTGGGCGTTTCTGCCAAGGTAAACGTGTTCACATCACGTCCGGGCCACCAATGTAGGGAGAGTAGCTATCGATCTATGAAAAGATTCCCCTTCATAGAATTGAATTAACATGTCTTATATACTAGTGAATTGAAATTATATTTTTGTAGTGGTAGGTACACTACATGCATGACTTTTTCTAGAATGAATCGTCTATGAAATCGTTAATGAAGGTTCGAAAATTCAAGTTATAGTTTTCCTTTAAAATATTCTATGCTACCATCTACCATTCTTTTAAAATTCAAACGATTGTTATTGCAATTCAAGCTCTTATTTAAAAATAAGTAAAATTCCTATATTTTATGATTAACGCTTGTAGCAATCAAACATATTTATTCACTTATTTGGTAATTATTCAGATTCGGTTGTTTGATTCCCCCCCCCTTCCTGAAATTTCTCCTAATTTTACCTTTTATCTCTAGAATTTTTAAAAATTATCTGCATTTCAAATTAACATTCATAAATAGTTTTTCTTATGTCTAAATCTGCCGGAATCATCCAATTTAGAAATGTTTAGGGGAGACTTGTTTAATTTTCATTTGATCAAAAACCCGTTTTTGTCACATTAAATTAATGGAATAGTTTATTTTAGATTTACATAATATAATATTTCTAATATAATATGATAATTTCTAATGTATATTTCTATTTATATATAATATATTTCTAATATAATAAAGGAATCAATTTGATACCGGCTTAAGAAACACCGGTTCTGATATAATACCGGAATCATACCGGCTTATGAAACACCAGTTCCGGTATGATACTGTGTCCGGTATAATACCGGTTCTAGTATCACACCGGAACCGGAGTTTCATAAGCCGGTATAATTTTTTTATACCGGGATTTTTTTCCAATTAGGAACTAGATCATTCTTCTTCTTCTTCTTCTTCTTCATAAGCTCAACAGCCTTTCACAGGCCAAGGCTGACTCGCAGATTTTCCTCCATCTGGCCCTGTCCGGTGCGACGGCCCGCCATCGGTTGACTCCCAATAGCTTGAGGTCCTTTTCAACGTCATTATTATTATTTTTTTTTTTCGCCTTTTCAACTGAGTCGTTTTCTTCTTAATTATTTTAACAAAAATTAATATGAGTTTATTGTTTTTGAAAATCGAAATGCAAATACCCAAAATAGTTTTAAAAAACCTCTTAAAAATTTTACGTTTTCTTTACATAATGTGGAAGATATTTTCTTATAGTGATTCAGCATATCCTTTAATTATTTTATAAACATGTATTTCATAGTTATAATGCTAAGATTTTTTGTGCTTTTTTTAATTATTTACATTCTTTTATCGTCTATAAACTCAATTCTGGAGTCACTAACATAGACCTATAATGCGACTTTCAGGAGAACTCCTCCAGACACTCGTCTCGCGCTGTGGTGGGTACTATAGTTACGAGGAAAGGTCACTGCGAATAGGGGTGTGAGGTGAATAGTTTTGTCTTAATGTCGTCGCGAGTAAACCAATCGAAACCTTCTTTCCTCCATTTCACCCCCATTAGGAATATGCTCTCACTTGTTACCATAGCAGCAGACAGACCCAGACTTTAAGTCTGGAGGAGTTCTCCTCAAAGCCGAACTAAAGATATCTAATTTAATTGTTTCCCTTGAGTTTGTTTATTGTCTTTATTATATCCCAATTAAAAATAAATTCAGGAAATCTACAAAAAAAATGCAGTTTGAAGACTGTTGTGATTTCGCCAACTCCGCTACAGAATTTTTGAAGTGGTAACATTGCAAAATTACTGCAGTTTGTTAACTGCAGTAGTTTTGTAGTAGTACCAACCTCAAAATTTCTACAGTAAATATGAAGAAATATTAGTATTTAGTGGTGCCATCTATCGAGAGAGATAGGAAATACTATACTTTTTGTTCTGAAAAAAAAAAAGAAAGCAAGATTGAAGACATCAAAGACTTTCAATTTCACAACAATACAAAGTAACTGTAGTTTTTCTGCAGATTCATCAGAAAAATACTTCTGAAAAAATGACTGCATAATTACTTCAAATTTACTGCAGCTTAACCATGGATTTCAAGTTTCAGTTTTTTTTTTCAAATTTATGATTTTAAAGTGACCTTACTTAAAACTACAGTAATTTTGTACATAACAGCTAAAAGTTCTTTTTTTTAAAAATGAATTACTGATAAATCGCTTCACATTAGCTGCAAAATAACTGCAGTGTTTTTACAGTTAAGATTGCACTACAGAAACATCTGCACCTAGCTCTAGAAAAACTACAAAACTACTTATTTTCTGTAGAAAAACTGAGGTGCAATTTTTAGCTGGGATTGTATTATATTATATTGAATATTTTTAAAAGTAAAAAAAAAAATAGCCGGAATTTAAAAAGAAATATATTTATATATTTTTTCTTCTTATTCCCAGATCCTCCCAAACCACCAAGTTTAGAAATCTTAGGAGTGACGTCATCCTCTGTGACTTTGAAATGGAAAAGGGACGAGGCAAATACCATCCCAACCACAGGTATAAAGCTTCAGCAGAGGCAGAAGATCGAGAAAATAAATGTGTATCATATTTCTTCATTTTCACACTTCAAAGAATTCTCCAGAAAAAAAAATAAACCCCATTGGCTGCCGGAAATATATTGGCGTTCTAAAACCCAGATCCAAATAGTCACATTCATTTATTTGGGACATATTTTAGATGACTCCTTTGAGACTAATGTACTCTTTGCTCTGCGACTTTCACACAAATTTTTATGAAAATTCTAGTTTTATCGAAAAAAAAAGAACGATTTATATTCGCTTTAAAAGGTCTAGCGTATTATTTTCGAAAAATCATATATTGTTGTGTTAAGAGTATGTTTTTTTACACCCTGAAATTAATTGTCATTTAAATGTGGGTTAATTAAATTACTCATACTACTGGCAAAAAAACATCATGAAATATTTATAAAATAAATTGAGAAGAATTAAAAATAGGCTTAAAGGATATAATGCAGCATAATTATTGTGTGCATGTTACACTTAAATAAAATATGTTTTGCATTTACTCAAAATAAAAATATTACAGAATCTACAAAAAAGCATTACAAATCTAATATTTTTTAAAATTTATTTTCAAATTCGTAGTAATTACGTTTCAGAGAGTCTATGAATTTAAAGCTTATTTTGTGTTCAGTTGCTAATTTTCCGATATTTAAACGCTGTTTGAAGAGTTTATGACATATGATTCTCTTATTGCCAATGAGACGAAACTTGCAGAAAATAAAAGAGACAAAGTTTTTTCAGAAAAATTAAAATTGGTTGATGATGTAGGAGACGAAATATCTTTGCAAATATCTTTGAGTTAAAGATATGTATCATTTTCTTGCCTTTAAAATAACTTTAAAATAGTCAAAGTATCCATTGCATGCATCATTGCATTGCATTAAATAACCAAATATTTATAAAATAAATAGGTTTTAAGACTACGATGAACTTTACTTGACAATTACATCGTTTTTTTATTTTTTATTCTATGCCAACAAAATTAATTTAACACTTAATGAATTTTCTCTTTTGAATTTCACCCTGTTTTTTTAATGTTAAATTAACAAATATACAATATCTCTAAGAAAATTTGCATAATTTGATATTTACTTTCACATTTGAGAGAATTTCAGAAAATTTTCGCTAATTATAAGAACTGATTATAAGAATGATTATAAGAACATTCATTTTCGTAACCTTAATATAGGTAATTATGAGCTGGTTGTCTCGATTCTCTTTCAAGTATTTCTTTAAGTCTAACTGTGTTCTAATCTAATTTAGTTATATAGAAATTTCAATTCATAGTTTAATGCAATAAATAGATATCACGTTAAATTGATTTATGCCTATGGACAAAAAGACAGTAGAATAACTCATAAAAATTCAAAATTATATTCATCAAACGCAACCCTTATCATAAAAACGAGACGATGATGATGATGTATAATTTCTGATGATTTATGATCATCATGATGTCATTAATGATACTGATGTGAAGCACACATCCGTTTAGGTTATTCTTAAATATGGTTGATTTTAATGGCAAACGGAAATTTTGTAAATCATATTAACTTATTATATCTTCAGGTTTCATTGTGCATTACAAGAAAGAATATGGTACATGGAAACAAGAAGATGTAATTGGTGATATAAACACTCACAGCATTGAAAACCTCCATTGTGGTATGAGGTACGAGTTCTATGTCACCGACGCTAGTGGCAGTGGTGAGCAAAGTGAAATAGTGTCAACTAGAACGACTGGAAGAGGTACGTAACATTTTTCTGATAATTTAATGGGGTTCATAATTGCTATATTTGGGAATTTACTATTACGGGGTTATACACTATCTACCAATGAGTATTTGGACACCTATGCAAATGATTATATCTGAGGTCCTGAGATACGTCATGCCCTCCGCTGGTATATATCATGTAGGGAACAACATCGGCATTAGTCCCATGCAAGATGCCTACTGCACTATTTTGGATGACAATGTGCTTCCTACGTTGTGGCAGTTTTACGGGGTGGACCCCTGTTACTTCCAGGACGACAATGCCAGCTGTCATGTTGCGAGGGTCACCAAGGTTTGGTTTGGTGCCAATGGGGTTAATCGAATGGACTGGCCTGTCTAGAGACCAGACCTGAACCCCATCCAGAACCTCTGGGACGAGTTGGATAGCCGAATTAAGGGGTGTACTACCGGTACAAAATCGGTGAAGGAACTTACATGTCTTCTCCAAGCCTAGTGGCAGAAAATACCACTAGCCATCACACAAGGACTTGTGGAAAGTATTTCCCCGAAGGGTTCACGCTGTAATTGCCTCTCGTGAAGGCTCTACCAACTATTGATTAAGAATAATGTTTTTCTTTTCAATCACACGTGTCCAAATACTTATTGGTAGATAGTGTATTGAGTCCTTGTACTTTGTATATATGTATAGGATGGTGTATTGGGATAGTGTCTTTGGGTTATAAATCTATTCAGCATTTAAAACCTAATATTAGTCTAAAGAGATAAAAACGTGATTTGAGATGATGTCGTGAAACTTTCGCTTGTCTTTGAATGTTTTACGTTATTGTGTAAACTGTCAATATGATATTAATATACTATATATCACACGAAAAAAAAACTTATTGTAAAATTATAGTTCAGTATCGTAAGGACATTTATGTTAAAGGAAAAAAAACCGAAATCTGGTAATAAAATCAAAATATATGGTATTTAAACCATTCGTACCAAAAATTCTGACCTTCAAAATTATAGCTATTATTATCACAAATTTAGTAAAAAATGTAAAACTAAAAGTAAATTTAACCGAATAAATATTTGCCATGCTTTAAGGTATCATGACATAATTTCTTATAATCTTATAAAACATTATTTTATTTTTAATTTTATCAAATCCCTTACCAAAGCTCTTCAGTAAAATCTATTGTGCTTTTTAAATTGTATAGGCATTTTTCCTATGTATAGCTAAATGTAAATCCTGTACATAGCGAAAAGTAAATCTTACTTAATAGCCTTTAAAAGACAGACTGAAATCTTTTTGCACTAGCATAAAAATTTTTTGTTGATCAGATGGACAGATTTGCTGCCGGTTATTTTAACTTAGTTTCAAAATGAAATTTCTAAGAGTGTTATAATGAAAAGGTAATTCTCAGTAACTTAATTTTCAGACATTAATAAATGTTTTTATAAAAGCGATATTTTTCAACATGATTATTTTTTTTAAAAAATGAAAAATATTTATTTAACGTGATGGAAATAATACATAAATTATTACACACTATGACACAGCGAAAAAGTTTACGTTTCAATCCCCAATCTTTTAAATTTTTTTTTAAATTGTCAAAGATTGCGGGATATTTTCAACTCCGAAGAAACAGTAATGATAAATTAATAAATTATTATTGCAACTTATTCTAATAAAATAAACTATCAGTTCTCGTTTTTTTAAATTGTCAAAGATTGGGGGATACTTTCGACTCCGAAACAAAAATGATAAATTAAAAAATTGTTATTGTAACTTATTCTAAGAAAATAAACTATCATTTCTCGTTCATTTTTAAATGTCAAAGATTGGGGGATACTTTCGACTCCGAAACAATATTGATAAATTAAAAAATTGTTATTGTAACCTATTCAAATAAAATAAACTTTCAATTCTCGTTGATTTTTAAATTGTCGAAGATTGGGGGATACTTTCGACTCCGAAACAAAAATGATAAATTAAAAAATTTTTATTGTAACTTATTCTAATAAAATAAACTTTCAATTCTCTTTTCTTAAGATTGTCAAAGATTGGGGGATACTTTCGACTCCGAAACAATAATGATAAATTAAAAAATTGTTGATGCAACTTATTCTAATAAAAAAAACTTTCACTTTTCGTTTTTTTTTAAATCTGAGAATTCAACGCTTTATTTTTAAGAAAAGGGGAAAATATATCTTTCCCTAGTAGGAATAATCATGAGGAATTTTACATTACGAAAAAACGTGACACAATACATTAAAGGAAAGCAGTTTCATTTCATCCAGACTAATTTAGAAAACTGGTGCAATGTAATGTTCACACATCATTAAGCAAAATAGAAGAAAAAAAAGTTTCTCGAATTTTGATATGAGAGAAAAATACGGAACTGGCACGCAACATATGGATTTGATTGCTATATTTCTGTCGCATGCTTCACTGACATAAGACATTTCTTCTTGTTATATATATCATAGTTAGCGTTGAAAAAATGAAATTTAGCTTCAAATAAAAAAAAATAGTTTTATTTTTTTAAATAATCGCACTAGGTGAATATTTATAATGATGAAATTTAAGCCAGTGAGAAACTTTATAATATAATTTTTTCAGAAACTTGCTAATTTAAAATAAATATGTAACTAATTTAAAACACGTTACAGTTTTCAAAAATAATCAGATTTTTATTTTATGATAGATAACAATTTTTTTTTAAAAATGAAATTTAGTTACTTTGCTCAATTTTGGTTAGAGTTTATTTTAATGTAATAACTTTTGTTTTATACTATATTGATGAAAATGCCATAATATTTGCTCATTTTGAGATGCATAACCTTGAAATATTATACGAGGGTTGCTATTTATATTTCTGGCCTTGGCAACAGTAAGTGTTGCTAGGCGACCGCAGACGATTTTAATCGAAAGTTTGATATTTTTAAACATAAATTTAGCAGACGATTTACCATTATAGTTTCATTTGTGTTGCTGACATAAAAATTGAAAAGTTCTTCTCTTTCAAAAAATGGAATTGAATCGGGAACATTTTCGTGCCATTATTTTCNGCGACCGCAGACGATTTTAATCGAAAGTTTGATATTTTTAAACATAAATTTAGCAGACGATTTACCATTATAGCTTCATTTGTGTTGCTGACAGTAAATTGAAAAGATCTTCTCTTTCAAAAAGTGGAATTGAATCGAGAATATTTTCGTGCCATTATTTTTCATAACTTTCGACGTGAATTGTCAGGACAAGAGTGCTTCGATGAACTTAATTCCTTATTCAGCGATAAATCGCCATCCTACCGCACTGTAAAAAATTGGTATAACGAATTTAATCGTGGTCGATGTTCGATCCAGGACGAATCCCGTGCAGGTCGTCCAAAATCCGTTGTTGTGCCAGAAAAGATCGATGCTGTGCGTGAACTGATAAAGCAAGATCGTCATGTGACATACCGTGAGATAGAGGCGTCTTTGGACATTAGTATGACTAGCATCAATAAAATATTGCATGAACATTTGAGCGTAAAAAAAATTTGTTCGCGTTGGATCCCGCATAATCTGACAAACGCTCAAAAAAAGGCTCGTGTCGATTGGTGCAAGGAAATGTTGGAAAAATACGTTCAAGGTACATCAAAGGCTGTGTATAACATCTACACAGGTGACGAATCATGGATCTATGCATATGAGCCGGAAACAAAACAGCAATCAACTGTATGGGTCTTCCAAGACGAGGCAAAACCAACAAAAGTTGTTCGAGGAAGAAGCACATCGAAACAAATGATTGCCTGTTTCTTCGGCATTAACGGTCATGTGGCAACAGTGGCGTTAGAGCAACGCAGGACGGTCAATTCTGAATGGTACACGACCATTTGTTTGCCAGAAGTCATCGGAGAAATTCGAAAAAAGCAGAAGAACAGGCGAATCATTTTTTTATTAAAACAGTGTATAAAAATACTTTAATACCTTAAAAATTTAAGTTTAACTTACATTCCGCCAAAGGTGCCTTAACACAATATTTCAATAAATAGTTTTATCAACACCATGACGTATAATTGCCAATAATTTAACTCTTATGCTATAATCAAGAATTCTAAAGACATATATAAAATATTAATAATTCATTTGTTCTAAACATTTTCTGTAATGAGAAATTTTTGTACTATTCTAGCTTCTTAACTTGAAACGATTATTGACAAATTCAACTTTTTGAAAAAGTATATTTAATCCGTTTTTGATCCGTTTTTCAAAAGTGCATATACGCACTTATTTATTTCTTAAATAATATATTAGTCTTCTGACATGATTTTTTTTTGTCTTAATGAATGTAATTTAAGCATATTTCTATGAAAATAATACTTCATTTTATAAAATTTCTATGTTTAGTCTAAACAAGCTACAATTTTTGAATTGCTATTAACAAGTGATTCATAAAAAAGTGTTACGTGTACAAAACAATTTTGCAATCGAAAAGAATAATGATAAGAAAAAAAAATTACATATTTAGTTCGATTTGAATTTTTTTTTAATGAAACTTAAACTTTTTACTCTTTTGAACCTTTGAAAAAATCATCAACTTTAAAAACTTCTTTATTTTCATTGAAATATTTTTTTACCATCTATAATCTAGAACCAGGATGGGTCAGGGTATAGTGCTAGTTAGGCTTGATTCCCGCTGATGGTTGGTCGAATGAATTCTGCTGCTGTAGAACCCAGTTGGAGACCGAGTTCGGATCATTAGCCACCAGGTTAGTCGTAAGAGGTTTCCTCTAGGCGTAACGCAAATACGGGCTAGTTTAATCAAAAAATCCTCCACGAAGGCTAATTTGTCGCATTGCCTGATCCAAGTCATCTGGGTTGGTTTCAAAATAACAGATCCACAAAGTTGAACATTGATAGCCTGAAACTCCAAACTGGGTCGGCTGTCCAATGCCAATAAAGAATATATAAAAGAAGAAAGGCTTGAAAACTATGCAGTTGCAACATTTCCTAAGGCTAAAACATTCCCTTAGGCTAAAACATTCCCTGAGGCTTGTGGAGGAGCCGAGCGTGGCAGGTGGGAGTAGAGTTTAGTATCGTTAACCCATAGTCGATTACTGAATACATTTTTAGCAATTATTGAGTGTATGTATTTTTATAATTTTGATTCCCATACAATATTAATCACCCAAAGTCGATCTTGGTATTATTGAATACATTTTTCGAAATAATTGCGTGGATGTATTTTTATAATTTTGATTTCTAGAATCACCCAAAATCGAGCTTGATATTATTGAATACATTTTTCGAAATTATTGCGTGGATGTATTTTTATAATTTTGATTTCCATAATCACCCAAAGTCGAGCTTGGTATTATTGAATACATTTTTCGAAATAACTGCGTGGATGTATTTTTATAATTTTGATTTCCATACATATTAATCACTCAAAGTCGAGCTTGTTATTACTGAATACATTTTTAGCAATTATTGCGTGGATGTATTTTTATAATTTTGATTTCCATACATATTAATCACCCAAAGTCGAGCTTGGTATTATTGTATACATTTTTCGAAATAATTGCGTGGATGTATTTTTATAATTTTGATTTCCATACACATTAATCAAGATATTTCACCGCGTTAATACATTTACCACACCCAGTGTTTTGAGGGTGAAAAAAAAACGAAAAGAAAATGAATTATCCTGCATACTAACTAAATTATTCAAAGTGCAAGAAAAAAAAATTGAAATATAGCATTGTTAAACAAAGTTATTTACTTAAAATATATTTTTTCTACTATTTTTGAATATGATTTAAAAAAAAAAAAAAACATTTCTCTTTATAAAAATCTTATTTATATTTTACTCGAAGTTAATTAGTTGAAAAAATTCCTTCTAATAAACTTCTTCCTTCTTTAGCGCCTATTGCCCCTGAAAAGGAAGAACTGCTCTCAGTGAATGCGACATCCGTAACGATCCATTTAAATTCCTGGAAGTCAGGCGGTTGCCCAATTACGCACTTCGAAATAAAATACAAGCAACAGCAGAAGAAAACTTGGGTCATTTTTGCCGACAGGGTCTCCTCTAACAAGAAGACTATCACTATTACAGGACTGACTCCAAATACCTGGTATCAACTGCAGCTGACATCCCACAATGAAGCTGGTCCCACGGAAGCCGAGTACATCTTCACAACGAGAGCTTTATTGAAAGGCAAGTATATAAGTGGAACATATATAAAAAAATAATCAATAGCCTGTACACTGTTAGGAATTTCCAGGGAAAAATGGTAGAATAACTATTTATTTCACAATGTATTAATTTGAGGGGATTTTATTATCGACTATGTCAACCTTCATCCATCAAAAAGTACCTCGTGATAGAATCTAGTTAACATATCTTAGATACTAGTAAATTGGTATTTAATATTTATAATGGTAGTTACGCCACATTACTCCCCTTCTAAATTCTATCACGTCCGGGTCACCAATGAGACGATTTTATTATAGACTATGTCAATCTTCATCCATCAAAAGGTATCTCGTAATAGAATCTAATTAACATGTCTTATATACTAGTGAATTGGTATTTAATATTTATAGTGGTAGTTGCGCCGCAAATTATTATTTTACCATATTGAAACAAAACAGTCAAATTGCAATAAATAAGATGATATTCAAACAGTTGACTATTGGAAAAACCGTTTATTTACTACTCTCACATGATGTGGTTAAACAACCAAAATTTTATCGCATTAATTAGGCCCTCCAAACGAAGACACCACTTAGTTCATTGAATGTGGGTACAATGAATATGTGGATTCCTTGAATGTGTGGTTAAAACCGAGAAGGCTATTCTGTTAATCTCATGCCCGATAGACAAGGGTTCGAGTTCCAGTGTAGATACTACAATATTTCTTCCATTCTGTTCAACACATGAAGAGTTTCCACTATCCTGCACTTTCCAAATAGTGACCCTGTGCTATTCGAATATAATACTCTCATTTCCCTATAGATGGCAGCACCATAAAACTGCAAAACTATCTCCAATGTTCAGTTAAATTTCGTTTTTACGGTTTTGAAACCATACTAGTTGTAAAAGTTCAAAAAACCGTATAGCTTTGTCTTCAAGGTAGTTTAACTATACTAGTTGTAAACGGTTTCAAAATCGTATTGATAAAAAAAATGTTCTTTTCGGTATACTTTACGGTAAATAGGAAAGGCAGAGTGATGCCAGTATACCGTAATTTTAGATTGAAAATTTTATCAGTGTATAAAAACTTGCCATTATATTCACAATTCTTTTCATGTTTATTTTAAATATTTAATGAAGCGTCAATAGGAAACAACAATGGAATTTTAAATGCTTTGTAAACATCACATTGTAAACATTGTAAACATCAAAAATCAACATTATCTCAAATAGATTGTAAGAAGATAGATTGAATTCATTTCCTGATTTTAAGTTTAAAAGTCTTTAGGGTATTTAAAAACATTGAATATTCAGAATATTAGAATATTCAGAACATGTAGTGTGCGAAAAAAAGTAAGCTGAGCTCCCTGAATAACTTTCAATCTAATAATCGGATCTTCAAGCTCCAGGATTCAATCTTAACAGTTTGAGAGGGTGACCTCAAATATGATATGTAGTTGGTGCAGACGATAAATTAAGTTACGAAATCAGATATAAAAAGTATTTTCTCTGAATAAACATACCTTTATTAGAAGGATTCGGATTTCTGAAAAATAAAAGGCGATTTTTTTCAAAATTCTATTTCTCAGAAACTTCTCTATCGATTTCGCTCAAATTTTGTATTTTGAAATGTAAAATTAATATTTTTTAAAACAATGTAAAAATTTTACGCATTACAACTCAAATTTCTTTCGACGGTTATTAAATAAAATAGTAAAAAAATAAATGAATTTTTTAAAAAAAAGTAATTCTTTGCACGGAATTCTCTTTAAATAAATAGAATTTTAAAATTGTGTGCAAATTTTCTTAAATCAATTTAAAAAGTTTTTGAGATAAGAAAAAGTAATATTGAGAGTTCTAGATTTTGGACCGGTTTCTTAACCAAACTATTCAGACCATATTTCCTAGATTGCAGCTCTAGGTCCGAAATCCGAATCCGTGTATAAAAAGATATATGTTCTGAGATATGTTTTTGCATCGAATTTCGTTGCTTAAAGTATCGTCTATATTGGCTAATTTTACTTTATTTTTATAACCGTCATTGAACAGCCGAGCCAATTTTATGGGTTTACAACTACTAATGTTCAACTCCGTAGCCTTGCAATTTTGAACCCAATCCAGAAGACAAGGGAACTCCAGCATCGAGTATTGGGAAAAATTTGCTTTCGTGGACGACTTTTTAATGGAGCTAACCCACATTTGCGTTACATGGAGAGGAGGACTACGTGAACATCCCACGGTTAGCCTAACGGCAAGGGGACTCTATCCCATGATCCATCTACCCCTGAAGAAATTTCACTTTAGCACTGCGGTCGGTGCAAGCTGGCGGAATTGTATCAACCAGCCATTGCCGGGATCGAACCCCGATTCACCTCACTGGAAGGCGAAAGCTCTATCCCCTGAGCCATCGTCTCTATTGACTATTTAGCTGTATTGACAAATTAACTATTGACTAATTGGCTGTATTGACTAATAATCGTATTTGAGGTTCTTCAAACTGTTTAGATTGAGTCCTAGAGCGTGGCAAACTGCTAAGATTGAGTCCTAAAGCGTGAAGATACAATCTTTAGATCAATAGTTATTCAAGGTGCTCTCCTTTTTTTGTCACTGTACAAAATATATTATTTGTATAAATATATATTTGTACTAAAATGTATAGTTTGTTATGTTTCAAACTGATGTTTTAGGTGCCTTACCTGATGCAGTATTAGTTAGTGGAGAAGCTGTGCCTTTCTATTTGGAAATTGAAGTTGTACTTCCTGTTTCTTTATCTTTAGTTGTGGTTGTTTCAGTACTTGTTCTAGTCTGTCTGATTGTTAGGAAAAGAAATCCAACCGAAAGTTCACAAACAGGTATTAGTCACAGGATGTTCAGAATCTTTACGTAAAACGTATTAAGTCATTAATAACAGGGTGTTCCAAAAATGATCTTTTATTTGAATATAAAATAATACGATTTGCCACGTTCTGCTTTGTTAATCTAGGACTTTTTTTCTCAAATCAAGTTTCAGTATTAGTTATAAATTCATCTATTAAATTCAATACTAACTGAGAAAACTTCTTTAGATCAAATTTTAACATTAGTTACAGAGTCAGTTAGCAGGTGGCGCTACTAAATGAGAAAAACTTAAAATAAAATTTGTAATATGATATATTAAAATGTCACTTAAAAATACTGTTATAAATTCTGTCCTGCTTAAATGAATGTTTGTTTTTATATTTTTATATAAATGTTTCACGCGGATTTCTCACAATTATAAACATTAAAAAAAATTTTAAAAAAACAAGAACAAAATCAACAAAAAAATTGTGACCGCCTTATTACGATCACTGGTTACCCATTGGTCAAATGCTTTTTCTTTCTGGATTGACTCCGTCAAACATTTCAAATCATGGGTTGCAAAAACTGTCTCCATTGATGTTTGTCGTCGGATTGATCTTCATATCCTGCCTATGTACGTGTTTCAAGACGTCACAAAATACTTTTCTTTCTTCAGCATTCATATTTATATTGAAAGTACCGTCAAGTCAGTAATTACACGTTAATAATAAAAATAATCTAAAAAATACTTCAAATTATTATTATGTAAATACATAAAAAATGCCTAGTAGTGAAAATAAAAAGAAAAACAGCAGCGATCGCCATAGCAACGCATTAAATGACGACGCATGCGCACTGTTTACTATAATTCACAGTTGAAAAGTGTGTGGACGCCATCGAATCCAAAACGATATTTTCAAACGATAACGATTTAAAAACGATATTTTCAAAATAGCCACCATTTACAGCAAATGTATGTGTAATTTTTGCCTTGCCGAATGAGAGCGCTGTAATAAATCATTAAATTCATCAAAATATATTTTTTGTTTGAGAGACAATGGATTGGAGTGGAAAGTTTATTGGGAAACCTAACTACGTGGTACAGTCTGAGGAGAACATTAAAAGACTTCGTGAAAATAGAGCAGTTATAAAAGTGTGACAGTTAGGAAACATATATTTAAACTTTTCCAGTCCTCAGCACCACCTGTTAACAAAATTTACAAATAAATTAGAAATTCAATCAGGATTGATGTACCTAGTTCCCCAAGAAATATGCAAAAAATCGTACTTGCTATACTTTTTTAAATTTTTTTTTCTTCAATTTGTTGAGATATTTGGGACACTTAGCAAGAAAATGAAATATAAAAGTTTTTAGAAAAGTTATGCAATATGTTTATTATTATTATTATTTATTTTATCTTTTAACAGCAAGCACATCCTATGTGTCCAGGAAATCCCAGGCAGGGGAATCAGTTCACTTATGCGAAATGGAAAAATCAAATTACCAGAGACCCCCAAGCCGGGCTGATCCAATATATTACCCAACCCCTTATGCAACGACCCACGTCGCGGATGATCCCTGCAGAAAGTCCCTGGAGGCAGCTGAAAGAGAGGTTTGTTGCTGAAAAAAATTTACTGATAATAATTTGTCATCCTATTTTTAATTGCAAACTTTCATAATAAAAATTTGTTTTATTTTATTTAAGTTTTATGAAAGTTGATATTGTTGTCAATTTTAGCTATGTTCATTATTTTCCCTTTAAAAATATTCAGCTGCTACAATAGCTGTTATGATTGTTGACACTGTGAAATTCGAACGTTTTTTTGTGGGGCAGTTTCTAACGTTTCTGTGCGGGCGGTTTAGAACGTTTCTGTTAGGCGCAGTGTTAAACATTTATGTGGAGGGCAGTTTCGAACGTTTCTTTGTAGGGCAGTCTCGAACGTTTCTGTGTGTCGCAGTTTCAAACGTTTCTGTTAGGGGCAGTTTCAAACGTTTCTCTGGGGGGCAGTTTCGAACGTTTCTGTGGGGGGGGCAGTTTGAAACGTTTTTGCACGGGCGGTTTCGAACGTTTCTGGGGGAAGGGCCAGTTTCGAACGTTTCTGTAAGGGGCAGTTTCGAATGTTTATGTGGTGGGGCAGTCTCGAACGTTTCTACGGAAAGGGGGCAGTCTCGAACGTTACAGTGAGGGGTAGTTTCAAACGTTTCTGTGTGGGGCAGTCTCGAACGTTTCAGTGTGGGGCAGTCTCGAACGTTTCTGTGGAGGGAAGTTTCGAATTTTTATGTGGGGGGGCAGTTACGAACGTTTCGACGGTGAGGGGGCTTTCTCAAACGTTTCTGTGTGTCGCAGTTTCGAACGTTTCTGTGTGGGATGGTTTCAAACGTTTCTGTGGAGGGCAGATTTGAACTTTTATGTGGGGGGCAGTTTCTAACGTTTCTGTGGGTCGCGGTTTTGAAGGTCTCGACGGTGAGGAGGCAGTCTCGAACGTTTCTGTGTGTCGCAGTTTCGAACGTTTCTGTTGGGGACAGTTTCGAATGTTTCTGTGTGGGGTGGTTTCAAACGTTTCTCCAGGGGGGCAGATTGGAACGTTTTTGCACGGGCGGTTTCGAACGTTTCTCTGGGGGGGCAGTTTCGAACGTTTCTGTGTGCGGCAGTTTCGAACGTTTCTCTAGGGGGCAGTTTCGAACGTTTCTCTAGGGGGCAGTTTCGAACGTTTCTCTAGGGGGTAGTTTCGAACGTTTCTGGAGGCAGTTTCAAACGTTTCTGGGAGGGAGGGCAATTTCGAACTTTTCTGGGAGGGGCAGTTTCGAACGTTTCTGTTAGGGGCAGTTTCGAACGTTTCTGTGTGGGGTAGTTTCGGACGTTTCGATGGTGAGGGGGGTCTCGAACATTTCTGTGTGTCGCAGTTTCGAACGTTTCTCTGGGGGGCAGTTTAGAACGTTTCGGTGTGGGGCAGTTTCGAACGTTTCTGTTAGGGGCAGTTTCGAACGTTTTTGTGCGGACGGTATCGAACGTTTCTGTTGGGGGCAGTTTCGAACGTTTCTGGGAGNATTGTTTTATTTTCCAGCAGAGGGGCCAGTCTCAAACGTTACAGTGAGGGGTAGTTTCGAATGCTTCAGTATGAAGCGGTTTCGAACGTTACTGTTGGGGGCAGTTTCGAGCGTTTCTGTTAGGGGAAGTTTCAAATGTTTATGTGGAGGGGAAGTCTCGAATGTTTCTGTGTGGGGTAGTTTCGAACGTTTATGTGCGGGCGGTTTAGATAGTTTCTGGGGGGGGGGCAGTTTCGAATGATTATGTGGTGGTGCAGTCTCGAACGCATCTACGGAGAGGGGCCAGTCTCGAACGTTACAGTGAGGGGTAGTTTCGAACGTTTCAGTGTGGGGCAGTTGCGAACGTTTCAGTGGAGGACAGTTTCGAACGTTTCAGTGTGGGGCAGTTTCGGACGTTTCTCTAGGGGGCAGTTTCGAACGTTTCTGGGAGAGAGGGCAATTTCGAACTTTTCTGGGAAGGGCAGTTTCGAACGTTTCTGTCAGGGGCAGTTTCGAACGTTTCGACGGTGAGGGGGGTCTCGAACATTTCTGTGTGTCGCAGTTTCGAACGTTTCTCTGGGGGGCAGTTTAGAACGTTTCGGTGTGGGGCAGTTTCGAACGTTTCTGTTAGGGGCAGTTTCGAACGTTTTTGTGCGGACGGTATCGAACGTTTCTGTTGGGGGCAGTTTCGAACGTTTCTGGGAGGGGCAGTTTCGAACGTTTTTGTTAGGGGCATTTTCGAACGTTTCTGTTAGGGCAGTTTCGAATGTTTATGGGGTGGGGCAGTCTCCAACGTTTCTACGGAGAGGGGGCAGTCTCAAACGTTACAGTGAAGGGTAGTTTTTTATGCTTCAGTATGAGGCGGTTTCGAACGTTTCTGTTTGGGGGAGTTTCAAATGTTTATGTGGAGGGGAAGTCTCGAATGTTTCTGTGTGGGGTAGTTTCGAACGTTTATGTGCGGTCGGTTTAGATAGTTTCTGGGGGGGGGCAGCTTCGAATGTTTCTGTGGGGGGCAGTTTCGAATGTTTATGTGGTGGTGCAGTCTCGAACGCTTCTACGGAGAAGGGCCAGTCTCGAACGTTACAGTGAGGGGTAGTTTCGAACGTTTCAGTGTGGGGCAGTTGCGAACGTTTCAGTGGAGGACAGTTTCGAACGTTTCAGTGTGGGGCAGTTTCGAACGTTTCTGTTTGGTGGCTGTTTCAAACGTTTCTGTGTGTCTCAGTTTCGAACGTTTCGACGGTGAGGAGGCAGTCTCGAACGTTTCTGTGTGTCGCAGTCTCGAACGTTTCTGTGTGTCGCAGTTTCGAACGTTTCTGTTGGGGCAAGTTTCGAACGTTTCTGTGTGGGGTGGTTTCACACGTTTCTCCCGGGGGGGGCAGTTTGGAACGTTTTTGCACGATCGGTTTCAAACGTTTCTGGGGAGGCAGTTTCGAACGCTTCTGTTAGGGGCAGTTTCAATTGTTTATGTGATGGGGCAGTCTCGAACGTTTCTACGGAGAGGGGGCAGTCTCGAACGTTTCGGTGTGGGGCATTTTCAAACGTTTCTGTGTGGATCGGTTTGGAACGTTTCAGTGAAGGCAGTTTCGAACGTTTCTGTGGTGTCGCAGTATTGAACGTTTCGGTGTGGGGAAGTTTCGAACGTTTCTGTTAGGAGCAGTTTCGGATGTTTCTCTGGGGGGGGCAGTTTCGAAAGTTTTTGTGCGGACGGTTTCAAACGTTTCTGTTGGGGGCAGTTTCGAACGTTTCTGTGTGGGGGCATTTTCGAAAGTTTCTGTAGGGGGCAGTTTCGAACGTTTCTATAGAGGGGCAGTTTCGAATGTTTTTGTGGTGGGGGCAGTCTCGAACATTTCTTCTGTGGATGGCAGTTTCGAACGTTTCTGCTAAGGGCAGTTTCTAACGTTCATACGGTGAGGGGGTAGTCTCGAACGTTTCTGTGTGTCGCAGTTTCGAACGTTTCTGTGCGGGCGGTTTCGAACGTTCCTGTTAGGGGCAGTTTCGAACGTTTCTGTGGAGGGCAGTTTCGATCGTTTCTGTAGGTGGGGGGGCAGTTTCGAATGTTTCTGTGGTGGGGACAGTCTCGAACGTTTCTGTTTGTCGCAGTTTCGATCATTTTGGTGTGGGACAGTTTCGAACGCTTCTTTGTGTGGCAGTTTCGAACGTTTCTGTGTGTCGCAGTTTCGAACGTTTTTGTTAATGGCAGTTACGAACGTTTCTGTTCGGGGCAGTTTCGAGCGTTTCTGTGTGGGGTGGTTTCGAACGTTGGTCTTACGGGCAGTTTGGAACGTTTTTGCACGAGCAGTTTCGAACGTTTCTGGGGGGGGCTGCAGTTTCGAACTTTTTTGTGCGTGTGGTTTCGAACGTTTCTACGGAGAGGGGGCAGTCTCGAACGTTTCAGTGTTGGGCGGTTTCGAACGTTTCATTGTGGGGCGGTTTCGAACTTTTCTGTTGGGGGCAGTTTCGAACGTTTCTATTAGGGGCAGTCTCAAAGGTTTATGTTTTGGGGCAGTCTCGAACGCTTCTGTTAGGCGCAGTTTTGAACGTTTCTGTGGAGGGAAGTTTAAAAGATTTATGTGGTGGGGATGTCTTGAAAGTTTCTGTGTGGGGTAGTTTCGAACGTTTCTCTGGGGGGCAGTTTCGAACGCTTTCGAGAGGGATGTTTAGAACGTTTCTGGGGGAGGGGGCAATTTCGAACGTTTCTGTTAGGGGCAGTTTCAAATGCTTATGGTGTGGGGCAGTTTCGAACGCTTCTACGGAGAGATGCCAGTCTCGAATGTTACAGTGAGGGGTAGTTTCGAACGTTTCAGTGTGGGGCTGTTTCGAACGTTTCTGTTATGGATAGTTTCGAACGTTTCAGTTAGGTGCAGTTTCGAACCTTTCTGTGGAGGACATTTTCTCTTTTACTTTTTATTGATGCTATAATAGTATGTTTAAATCCTAATAGACTGATATAGAGTTATATTTTTAAGTGTTTTAGAGATTACTTTAGCATTATTGCATTATTACTAAACCCAATACTATTTTTAATTTTTACTTCAAGCTTTTTAAACACGAGACTAATTTCTATAATATATTTAAAACAATTTTATTCGAAAAACAGTCCGAGACTTTTCATAAAACTTGATATTCAAATGATATAGAAAACAACAAAGTGTTTTTCTCTGTTTAATCAATGCATAAAACATTTTTTCTTATTTGGAGAATTGCTTAGATTTGTTGAAAAAAATGCATGCCTGATATTTTTTTTATCAAATTTCATAAAAAGTTAACTTTTGTTTTTGTTGCTTTTTCGTTACATTACGTTAATTTTGATACTTTTACGTTGCATTACGCAATTTTTGTTTTAGTTTCAAGATGAGCCACAATATGCCACAGTAAAAAGAACACCCAGACCACCTAAGTCCGATATGCATATATACCATTATCCAGGTAATTAAACATCGCAACATTTATGTGTTTCAATGTTATAATGTTATAAGCGTTGAAATAACTTGCAGTGAATATTATAGAACTCGGGTTTTGAAAGAATATTTTATACTGTACAAGCTTATAATTTCTACTTTAATAAATTTAATTTTTAAGTATAAATTATAAATTTAAAGTATCTATCTTCATTTTCTTAGAATGTGAATTAAAATAATAACATAATAAAATAGGTTATTTTTTCGTAAATTTTTCTTTTAAAAACTTGTTTATTTGAAACCCAGGTTTAAAAAAAATTATTTTATTAATAAGTTCATTTTTCAAACATTGTTTTATTTTCCAGCAGCAGTTTTTAAAGCCTCCACATTTTCTAGTAACTTTTTGTATCACAACCTTGAGGCAGTTTAGCACCAATTTTTATCTCAAAAAATCTCTTCCGTACTATTTAAATTAAAATTCACATTATTAATACAGCTTAATTTAAATGCTCTGGTCTATTTACGTTTATTAGCCTAAAGAGAAAGCAGTTTTTTGGCTACCAAATGTTTATTGTTTTAGTTTTACAGCAAAATATGGTAAGCTGGTTTTTTAAAACAAAAATGAATTCATCTGAAATTCGTCTCAATCGAAGTTAAGGTTTAAGATAAGAAAAATCTATCATGTAGTGAATTTAGTCAAATTGGTGGGGAAAAAACACATTTACTTATAATTTTTTAATGTATAAAATATAAGAAAATTACCTAAACTATATTAAAAGTATATTAAAAGTATACTATATTAAGAGTATACTAAAATATATTAAAAGTAAATTATTTAAAGCTGATTATATAATATTTGTATATTAAATAATAATAAATAGCACTGGGGTACAAAAAGTTGGTTTTTTTTTCTTCATATACTAGATTTTGCTTTTACGCTCGTATAAGGATTTCAAAACAGAAATTAGTTTTGCTCTAAGGCTTTAGATTTTTAAAAAAAACAAGAACAATTTTTTTAGTCTTTTTCGTATAAATGTATATGTTTAAAAATGTTATATGTAACAGATGTTTCGACATACTTTCAGGGGAGTTGGGATACATCAACGGAATTAAAATTGCATAGAAACCCATGCAAGGAAATGTCGTTGTACACGGCTAGAGGCGTATCCCCTGTATGACCAGTCCAGAAACCAATCGAGAAATAGCTCTAAATAGGGAAGCACATCAAGCTGAGTATGACGACATTTTCGGGAATGGGTCACCATGCAATTTTAGTACTGGTGATGTGCTCTAATTCACTTAGAAAACTGTCTCAAGATTTGTTCGACCCCCTGTTACATAAGGTTTTTAAACTTATGCATTTCATTACAAAAAAGACAAAAATGTTATTTAAAAAACTGTAAACTTTAAGAGAAAAATCGATTGCAGATTTAAAGTCAGTGACATGAAAATACCCAAGATCCGTTAAAAAAATCTTATTCAACAGAAGAAAAAAAATGTTCCTATGTCTAATCTGTGAAACAATTTTCACTAAAGACATTATTTCGTTTTTTTTCTTTGATATGTTCCCTAATAAATACTAACATTAAATGTACTGTTTGTAATAAGATTTGATATATATACAGTCCCTTTCCAAATTATTAGATGCACTATAAGATTCGATGCAAAATCTTAATTATCAGGCAACTTTATTGTTTTTACTCGACTGAAACCGGTTTGCACTTATTGTTCAAGTTCGTGTATCGTTTGGTTAACATTGTAATGCAATACGTTAGAAATAAAAACAAGCAGAAAGTATATGAAAAATCTCCTGAATAAAAACCCATTACATGTATGTTTAAATATAAAAGTATAGCATATAAACCAGTGCAAAACATGTAATTATAAAAACACTATAGTGCGTCTAATAATTTGGTCAATTATTATAATTTACTAATATAATACCTATAATACCTGATGTAATAAATATTCTATATTTATATAATATATCGCCTCATTTAACCAATTGATGCACGAACGTAAGCAAGGGTTAACGGTTTTACGGAAACCGGTTAACGGAACGTAAACCGGTTTTTGTCTCGCAAAAACGATAAAATGTATAGTATCTCCTGATAATTAAGCCTAACGGCAAGCATATCTATATCTANAAAGTGTAAATGCTAAAAGTTTGTTGCATATGGCATAATTCTTATAGAACGCACCACTGGAAAAAAAATTGGAACAGACAAGAAAAGTTAAAAACTACCTTTTTGGAATCGGTAACACATTATATATATATATATATCTTATTTTTCACAGTATAGTTTTAAAAAAACCATTAGAAATCAAGGGAGAAATTTCACCTCTGCGTAAAAAAATGTTTTTAACTGTTTTCTTTTAAAATTTAACTTTATATTTCATTAAAAAAATTAAATTTTTTTTTTTGAAGTTGGTGAAAAATGGATATTTTTCTTTTGCAGTTCATATCCCCCCAGAGCTGTTAGACGAGCTTCAAGCCACGTCCTCTCCATGGGATGATGGTGGCAGATCTTCTATGGTGGAGCCTGAAAGATACAATATAGGTTATATGAATTCTTTGTATTGTTTTTATATTTATAGTGTAGATGTAGATAATGTGAGTACAGCTGCATCAACTTTGCATGCTAACTGAGCTCTAAATGTTGGTACTTGACATTAATTAAAAACGAATTTTAATTTTTTAAAAAATGGACTAGTAGTTGTATCGCTTAAATCTTCAAATGCAAAGTTTTGAAATTTATAATTTTTTTATTTGCATTTATGTGCCTATTATACACTACAACACGATGTAAATACAAAAATTATGCAAAAAAATTAAAATGAAATATAAGAAAAACTGGTCAAAAAACGCATTTTTTAAAGCATCTCAATTATTCGTGCATTAAAATATGAACTGATTTGTTGTATCGCTTAAATCTTCAAATGCAAAATTTTGAAATTTTTATTTTTTTATTTGACTGTATGTGCGTATTTTACACTAAAACATGATGTAAATACAAAAAAAGTTAAAATGAAATGTGAGGAAAAAAATGGTAAAAAATGACGAAACAACGAATTTTTTAAAAAATCTCACTTATTCGTGCTTTAAAAAGTGAACTAATAGCTGTATCGCTTAAATCTTCAAATGCAAAAATTCAGAAATTTTTATTTTTTTTATTTGAATTTATGTGCGTATTACACACTAAAACATGATGTGAATACAAAAATTACGAAAAAAAATTTAGACGAAATATGAGATAAAATGGTCAAAAATGACGAAAAAACGCAATTATTAAAAAATCTCAATTATTCGTGCATTAAAAAATTAACTCATAGTTGTATCGCTTAAATCTTCAAATGCAAAATTTTGAAATTTTTATTTTTTTATTTGAATGTATGTGCGTATTATACACTAAAACATGATGTAAATGCAAAAAAAGTTAAAATGAAATGTGAGAAAAAAATGGTAAAAAATGACGAAACAACGAATTTTTTAAAAAATCTCACTTATTCGTGCTTTAAAAAGTGAACTAATAGCTCACGGTGCGCCTTAACTAAAATTAAATAAAATGCTCTTACACCTAGAAAACTAGAAGAGATTCTGAATTTACAATGTTCTTAGATAATAAAAATCTAAAAATTAAAATAATCTGTGGAGAGATTCTTAACAAAATCCACTTTGAAAATTTTTGCTCACGAAGTACGATATTTCAAAAATGTTAGCATCATTTTATGCTTATAAATAGAAGAAAAAATAACATATTTAAATTAAATATTCATAATAACCGTTTATATTACATTTTATAATTATTAGAAGTTTTTTAATTGTTAATTATAGTCGATGAACCACTATTTAAGAAAAAAATAATAAAAACTTACATCGACTTTTGCGACGTGACTTTAAAAATGGCAACTTCCACTCGTGTGTGTACACGAAGTAGAAAAGCAATTGAACCAGGATAAAAAACAAAACTTAATATCACAGCTCATTCTGTTGACGATTATTTTGATTTTAAGGAAATTCATTTTGTTTGTATAAAAGGCGATGAAGTAACGGATGCTCCTGCGCTTGGAGTTAACTGCAAAGATGTTCCTGCTTTTGTTCAGTATGTGAAAAATAAACGAGATGTACTGGATGTTCACTTAAAAATGGGTATTACTGGAGAAGGTGGATTTTTAAAAATATGTCTTTCTGTACAATCAAAGTAGTTGGACATCGAGTGCAGCGGTAAGCGTGCTAAGCATGATGAGGGGATAGCTGCAAGGAAATTTAAGGATTCTGGAGTTAAACGACTATTCATTCTAGCAGCCGTTCCGAATGCACAAGAAAATTATAAGAATGTAGATCAACTCATTTCAGCGAATATAAGCCCTTTCCAAGGCACAATTGCAACCGATTTGAAGTTAGCGAATATCTTAGCAGGTATAATGTCGCACAGCAGCGCATACCCATGCACTTATTGTTATGCCAAGAAACATGAGCTAAGCAGCTGTGGTGAATTGAGATGCCCTAAAAATGTTTCATCGTATTATACAAGTTGGCTGACTGAAGGAAAAGGTTCAAAAAACAAAGCGAAAGATTATTTCATTTGCATTCATCCTCCACTAATTGCAACTGTTGGAGGCAAAACATTCCTAGATATTATTCCACCGCCAGAATTACACCTTAAGCTTGGTGTTGTTAACACTGTTTTCACGCATATGTTGAAAGAGTGTGAAAATAAATCGCTGACCTAGGTAAAAGCTTGTCACGTTCAGCGTGAAATCAGACGAGGATGTTCTGGGTTTAAAGGAAATGCATGCAAAACACTTTTGGATAAAGAAGAACTTCTGCACCAGTTTAAAAATCTAGCAATACTGAAGTACGTTAAAGTATTTGACGACTTCAAAAAAGTGGTTTCTGCATGCTTCGGAAATAATCTTGACCAAAATTACAAAGCATGTATAGAAGCTTTCAAAAAGAGCTACATGGACTTAGGTGTCAGCGTTACACCAAAGGTTCATGCAGTTTTTTTTCACATTGAACAGTTCTGTGACAAAAACGGTGAAGGATTAGCATTTTTTGGGGAGCAGGCGATGGAGTCCGTACATTTTGATTTCTTAAAGTCTTCCTGGGAAATTAATAAGGTTGCTGCAAATCACCCGGATTATTCTAAACACCTTTCGAGCGCTGTTTGTAGATATAATGCTTCACATGTTTAAATTGATGTAATTATAATTAAATTATGTTACATTTTCATATTTTATCAGCAGTAAAATGTTTAAATAATAAAAGTTTAATAGAATTACAACTGAAAAATCCTTTTTTTCCTTTCTATTGATATAAAACAACGCCAGATTTTCCAAAATATCATACTTCGTGCGCAAAAATGTTCAAAGTGGATTTTTTTAAAAATCTCTCCACAGATTATTTTGATTTTTTGATTTTTATTATCTGTGAACATTGTAAATTCAGAATCTCTTCTAATTTTCTAGGTGTAAGAGAATTTTATTTAACTTTGGTTAAGGCGCACCGTGAGCTGTATCGCTTAAATCTTCAAATGCAAAAATTCAGAAATTTTTATTTTTTTTATTTGAATTTATCTGCGTATTATACACTAAAACATGATGTGAATACAAAAATTACGAAAAAAAATTTAGACGAAATATGAGATAAAATGGTCAAAAATGACGAAAAAACGCAATTATTAAAAAATCTCAATTATTCGTGCATTAAAAAATGAACTCATAGTTTTATCGCTTAAATCTTCAAATACAAAATTTCGAAATATTACGTGCGTACATGATGTGAATACAAAAATTATACAAAAAAATTAAAATAAAATATGAGAAAAACTGGTCAAAAATGACCGAAAACAGCGCATTTATTTAAAAATAACAATTATTCGCACACTATAATCTTCATAAGAACTTAACTTAGGGAATAGACTACGCATTAGATATAATATTAATACTTCGATATTTAACAGCAAATATCGAAACTTATTTAGCAAGAAAGGCCAAACCCTTGCTATGAGTTATTTTTATTTTAGCTGTTAAATATATAAAATAATAGTCTAGTACATAGTCTATTCCGCACACATACACATATAAAACATTAATGAAATTAAAAGTAATTTGTACAAACATATTATATATTTTTTCATATTCATTTAAAAAAGAATGAACATAAATTATTAATGAATATGTATTATAGAAATTCAGATTCATTTAGAAGGAAGGAAAATTATCAAAAATTATCTTTTTCTTTTTGAAAAAAGACAAAATTATCAATTTATTTACCACTGTATTTTTTTTTAATAATCATATAGCTTGTGTTCTATTTGACCGAGAAAAACAATTAAAAGAGTTTTATGAAGAGAAAAGTAAGATTTATTTTGTATAAAAAACACAAAAATTTTTAGTCAAAATTAACTACACATCTAGGCCACAGATCAAGTGCATAACCGGTTAGCGTTACGTTATGTACAGTGAGCCAAATCAAAAACGTCAGAAACCTTAATTTATGATCTAATGATCAGATTTGCGTTCAAATTTATAAACATCTTATAAAAAAACTCAAGGAGATAACTTTGTCAAATCAATCAATTCAAGGAGCTAACTTTGAATTGATTGATTTATTTATGCTGGCGATACATGAAGTTATGAAATAAAGCACATAAAGGATCGAAATACTCCGTTTCACACTTATATAGAATGTGTTTCGTTTAAAATTATTAGTAACCCTGCAATGTTTGAGTAATATTTATTTAATCTCTAATTTTCTAGGCAGGCGAAGTTCCAGGAAAAGTAGGTGAAGATTTTTAAGTAAAGAATCCAACAAAGAAAGGAAAAGTCTTACAGAGAAAAAAAACAGAGTTGACGATTAGGATGATATCCTCTGAGTGCTTTAGTAGTTAACAAGCACTCCGAGTTATTCCTGATCGAGTAATTTCTCCATGCAAGAGGAATTTCAATCAAAAGAGTTCGATCTACTTTCTCCATATTGTTTTAAAACCTTTTTATGCAATGTCTTTTTATTTGAAACGTATAAAATTAGAGATTCAAAAAAGAATCTGGATAGGAAAGACTTACTTGATAATGGAATAACTACATTGGTTGAAATTCGTTAAGATGATAAACGTCGACATGCTTCGAGCTCTCGAAAACAAGGCGCTCATTCTCATGATCTCGTGAATAAGAGCACCCAATCATTCGGGTCTTATCTATTTCACGTCTGGGAAAAAAAAGTGTTATTATAAAAAAAAACTTTTAGTAATTTTTTTTTGGTTTGTGATTTTCTAGGCAAAATTTTCAAAAATTAAATATTCAAAATTTTTAAAAACATTGCAATTTTGGTGGGATTTTTTTCACTCAAAACAATTTATAAGAAATCAGTGAATAAAAAACATACCTTAAACATAAGAGGTTACATTATTAAAAGGAGTTACTTTTGAATAATAAGGAAAGGAGCTTAAACCATTTTGTTTTTGATTTTTAAAAACTATTTTCTTCACAATAAAACTGTGTTCCAATTTTATAAACCGTATGGAACAGCTGTCTGCAAAAGAGCAGTTATGCATAACTGTTACCAGTTCACAATTGTTACATCAATAAAGTGTAAATGCTAAAAGTTTGTTGCATATGGCATAATTCTTATAGAACGCACCACTGGAAAAAAAATTGGAACAGACAAGAAAAGTTAAAAACTACCTTTTTGGAATCGGTAACACATTTTCTCATCTTCACACGTTAATGCAAAATTCACATTGTAACTGCCGATTTAAAAGTTTGTGGTTTCATTATTAATATTAGTATTAAACCCAACTGATCGTATGAGTAAGTTTCCCAACCAATCTTTATTTTGAGATTATCATATGACAGAAATCTGGAGCTAATTTATTTTTTACTTCGGATAAATTTTGACGACGGAATGATCATATCCTTATTCATTTAATATTATCATTCATTGATACTTTAGCATATGAAATATATATGACATTAGTATTCTGTTTTCTACCTATGAATATTTCCTAAATTTGAGATTGGTTAAGGTCATCAATTTTATATGACCTGAAAATAATATAGTTGAATTAACTATTATTTTTGCAAAAAAGAAGTATGTAGTGTATGAATTTCTTTTAGTATTATATAGTGCCTTAATAAATTGCATCTTTTGTTGCGTGTAGATTTTTTATCAAATAAAAAAGCAACATTATTACGTGAATGAAAAAAATGGCCATTTATGTGTTTAGAAAAAAAAGTATCTGCAAAAAGAAATTGTATGAAATGTATACAATAATTTTAATTTAACATTGACGTTTAAAATGTTTATATTTAGTGTATTTGTGTGATGTGTTGAGTTACTCAAATTATTTAATAAATTTCAAGTAAATTTAGAATCTGTGCTACATTTAAAATGAAATTGTATATGTTACCGTTAAAGTATGTAATCCGTTATTTTATAGAATACCTAGTTATTCCATGAAATAACTGATTGTGTCCGTTAAAGTGTAAAACTCTCTTGTATTTCACGGTTTAACTAGTTATTTCATAGAATAACGATCTGCAGCCCGTTAAAGTGCAAAATAATCTATATCATGATCACGACAAATTAGACCTTCCACCCCTACTGCATTTATGAACTATTCAACAAAAAATTTTTCGTTTTAGAAATAATGTTCTTTGTAATTCCAAATTTCATTTTAGTAATCCTTTTTGTAACAAATGATTTTCTGGTACGTTTCCATAAATACCATTTATACGCTGCATAAATTAGATAAATTGCTTCTTTTTCATTTTAATAGTCTATCATTAGTTTATTTATAGAATACCTAGTTATTTCATTTTAGATCAATTGTTCATTTTACACTTTAACTGTCTTTCATTAGTTAATTTATAGAATACCTAGTTATTTCATAGAATAACTAGTTAAAGTGTCAAATTAATAACATATTACACACTTTAACGGACTCGATCAGTTATTTCATGGAATAACTAGGTATTCTATGAAATAACTGCATTATATACTTTAACGGTAACATATATATCTACTTTATACCATAAAATTAAATTTTTTAATATCGAAAATATAGCTGTTCGAGTTTTTTTTTTATATTCTGCAGTAAATGTTTTTTGGCATAAAATACTTCTGATATTGCTTTCGAAAGTGTCAACCATTCTAATATCTATTTATCGGTAATATTTGTAATTGAATAAGGAACACATTGAGAATGGAATAATAATTTTTACGTGGTAAAATACAACTTTATTTTACGCGCTCAAACAAACAAAAACTCGAGAAACTAACAACAGCAGGTTAAACTCTCGAGTTTTTATATTATGGTTTGCCTAGATTTGCAGTGTTGATTTGTATTAAAATATGTAATTACATGTTATATTTTATTTTACATGTTATCTTTTTTTAAGTAAATTAATTGTGAAGGAAAATATTGTAGTTGCGCTTGTGTTTCTAATTTAACGTGGTTTTTTAATTAATGTGAATTTATCATAATATCCAAAACTCCTATACATTACTAAATAGAGTTATATTTTTAAAAAAAGTAACAAAACTGAAATTCACTTATATTTGGAGTTAAATTTTTAAAATTTTGTTTAGAAGTTTATTATGTTCAATAAATACACATAGTATTTTTAAGATACATTTGTTATTGCAGGTTAGTTTTCTGTTTGTGAATGCGTTTTAGTTGTAAAGCGGCAAGTTAGATGTGTTTTTAATTATAATAATTTTGTGTTATGTTCAACAGAAAGTTTAACAAGTTAATTTTTCATTTATATTTTAAAAATAGAGCTGAATTATTTTTTGACTCATTTAATATAAAATATTCAGATAATACATTTTCATACATTCCAGAAATTGCAAAAATTCATAAAATTCCGTATATTACAAATTCACTTATATCAGAAAACTTCATATGAAACGGAAGCTGTGATTTTTATATCTGTTATATTTCTTGTTCACATTTATGGTTGATGCATAAAGAATGTATAAATGTTGTAATTAATTTTCAAATTAAATGTTACTTATATTAATATATGCGGCAAAAGGAATACATAATATAAAACTGCAATAAAATAAAGTTTTCGTAAGTTATTTTTTGTTGTTGTTTCAAGCGGCAAGAACAAAACACAACTACAGTAATAAATACAAAGAACCATGTAGAGAATACCATAAAGAGAAGAAAAAAAACATAAAGAAGATGATATATAAGATGATATATATAGTTTAAAATCATCGCATTGCTTCAAGAGTAAGGCGCTTTTACTGTGGTTTCCTTGGCGACAGAACATCAAAAAACAATGCCAATAGATGAGATGATCAGAATCCATGACCCGTCCCAGATAACAGAGACAACAGATAGGACTTGAAATTAAGCGGAAAAAGTACAAGTGTTTCGGAAGATAGTTATGGTCGGTGGCGAGTCTGAATTCAGCCACCATTTTATGTCTGGACCATACTAAGAATAGAGATCATTTGTCTTACCATAACGTGTGAATTATTCTCACAGTAAAGTTCTTTTTGGACCTGTTTTTTCTTGAATTAATTGTTTTAATATTCCAAAAGATATAACTGAAGATATTTCACGAGTCAAGGTACTGTGTTTCGCTACTGAATTTTCTTCTAGCAATCTCGTTGCCTTGAATTCCACAATTCAACGAGATCCATTTTAACACAATGCCCTTCGTGCTGTCACTGTTTGATCACTGCCACTGTTTGAATCATTTTTGCACACATAGCGATAAAAAGTATAGAGAAAAAAAACAGATTTTAAAATACTTCATAAAATATTAACTTACAATTAAAAAAAATGACATTTTTCCTCGAAATAATTTTATTCAGAAGCAACTAAAATTGAAATGGGCATTGTTTAAGCATTAGCTGACATTTTACACAAAACACATTTTACACTATGGTGAAAACTACCAGAATATAGTAAAATTTATCGTGTTTCTGGCTGAATGGAAACACAAAAAAGTTCTATAATTTCTACTAAAGAGTTTTAAAAATGATTTAGTAAAATTAAAAATAAAGTATGGTTTTATAATTTGTATTAAAGTTTGGAAAATGACGTGAAGTTTGATAGTTTTATCATGATACTTTAGAGATTGGTATAAAAACTATTTATTCATTCATTCCATTAAATTAATTTTTCAGTTCTGCATTTTTTAGTGAAAGTTTGATAATTATCATCATCATCAATGGCTCGACAGCCTAGGGTGGGTCTTGGTCTTCTCAGGAAGTTTCTTTACAGGCTAACCTTTTTTTTGCTAATGTTTTCCAATTTTCAGTTTTTAAGACCAAAATGTCATTCTCTAGGCCATCTATCCATCTCCAATTCGGCCTGCCTCTTATTCATGTTCCAACTTGTCTGGCATTGAAAACACTTTTTGTGGTAGGGTCTTCGTTCATTCTGATAATAAAAACTATTATTTTGAAAACCAGATTTTCCGGTGAACCGTTACCATACCAACGGAACAGTTATCAAATGAATGGTTTCCAACATTTTAGTTTACCGTATATTTCACAAGAAATCTCATAACCGTACAGTTTGGGGATTTTACCATTTTACCTGGATTTTTTTTCTCCTTGCACAAACAACTTTTAAACTAGCATCTTGCATTATAATTGGGCCTATATTCATCAAACTTTTTCCTTTAACTGTTAATGTCTCAACAACTAGTTTTTTAATAAAAATGAAATTAAAGACAGTGTATCAATACACACGAGACAGTGACAAATTTTTTTTCTTCCTAATGGCAGGCACTGAGTTTTGAATCTACAGTGACAAATTAAAACAAAATCAAATATAACAATTCACTTCCTACAAATATTCTTGTTTTTATAACAGAAACATCACAAAGTTTGACGAAATTTTTTTAAATTATTTATTATTAAAAAGAGTACTCGAATTATGAAATGTTATTTTTAGAGAAGTAATTAATACTCTTTTGAATCTTCCATTTTGAACGTAGTGTTTTCCCAAAAATTAAATGAAACTTTATTGTAATTTATATTAAAAATGTTCTATTTCGATGTTTTATTGTAAATAATAGTTTCAAATTAAAAAGCATTTTGTATGTATTTTTTTATAAAAAACCATTTAATAAAATTCTATATGAAATGTAATTCAAATCAAAATCTGTAATAAAATGTATTGTTCGTATCAGTTCAGTTATTTGTATCAACATTTATTGTTGTAATAAAATTAATTATTTGCACTCT